GCACACACTGAAAGTAATATGACTCAGAAGTCAATCCAGTTTAAGGTTTCATTATACCATGTTTCTTAATTTTAGTGTGCACAGGAACAAGGAGAATCTCAAACTCTTTCAGACCTGCTGCCACCTGGACACACACGTAATCATTAAAGTATGGGAAACGACAAAGCAGTCCTTTGCCTAATGGCAGGCAGAAGCCAAAGTGGCCTTTAGTTTTGGGTGGCATTACTAGAACAGGACTTACTATTCACATGCTGCTTATGTCTTACGGAGAGAAGTCTGTGAATTATCACTTAAAAGGCAGCAAAATTTCCCTCAGGCTGCAACACACCTACAAATAACAGTCAGCACAAGCGAGAGCTGGGGATACATAAAACTGAGCTCACCAGCCCAAGAGGCAGAAATGATTGTTCTTTATTGTGGGAAAAGGCCAGTTGCACGGTGAAAGCTCTGCTGCCATACTAGCCTTGGTAGGCTCTTCTGCTTGCTAGTTCAGGACCTAGTTCAGACTAGTTCAGCCTGATTTCTCCTCCAGCTGACTCTCCGGCTCAGAAGTGGCATTCTCAAATAACATCCCATTTGTAATATCAAAATAGAATATTACAAAGTAATTATGACTTTTCTCTTGCTTCTGCCATTTTTGTTTAAAGTGAAAAACCTGAAACTTAACACTACACTGACAGATTATCATACAGCACCTTTTGTTGAGATCCCCAAGCTAACCTCATATGAGCCCTAATGTTCATATGGCCCTGTGCAATGTAGCTCAGAATAAAGAAACATGACAACTGAACCCCTCCAAACATGCTAATTAACAGGAATAACTTAGGTGCAGTCTGTGCTAAGGTGATTCTACTGTTTCCATTCCCAGAGACTGATCATCGGAAAACTGCAAATACACCTCTGCTGAGGTTAGCCTGCACAGTAGCATGCTGCTCTGCCACTTTGCTCAAGAAAATGGAATAAGCAGCCGCTGCCATCACACACCTAGTAAAATTATTTTGCCTAACAAACTTGCAAGACAATCTAGGCAGTGCCAACTGCTGCAAAGAGGTCAGCATATTGCACAGAAACATAAACCCTCCATTTTATAAGCCTCTTAAATCCCCTGCTTTCTTGGTATTGCCCACTTCAGTTTAATCCCATTACACATGAGAGAGCACATCATCCAACCTGGGTAAAAAAGGAAGCTGTTTTCTACAAAACAAATCACTCCTCCACTTGTAGAAGTCAAAGCAATTATCTTGAAATAAACCTGAAAAGTTTCCTAGAGAAAGGAACTGTCTTAACTTGATCACTATGAGATGCAGGAAATACTCAGATTCCAGTCCAGGCAAGTCTAACGGGCAACCTGTTTGCTCCTGATTTCTCTTGGTAGTTTTACCTCAATATCATATAATTTACGAATGCTTTAATCACAGCTTGTTGGTGACTAATGTGTACACTCAGTTAACTGCCTTAGCTGTAATATGGAATGACTGTGTTTCTTCCTTTGAGGTGGTGCTAAAGGACTGCACGGTTACAGAGGTCTTACAAGGCTCCTGTCACAGTTTTAATCTCTTTTTTCCAGTCTTCAGGGTGAAAAAACAGGAAGATCCAATGAAACCTCAGTGGCTGTGCTGCCAGTGACCCAGACATTACCTGGATACCCAATGCTGCAGTACCTTCAAGAAATCAACCACTGACTGAAGAGCAGCTGGCTTTATTATTGCCTAGCCAGGACTGCAAGATTACCTGAATGACAACCTCAATCCCTTTGCTCATCTGGGAAACAGATCTTGCTGTTTCACCGGACTGATTAATCAAGGCACCGATGACAAATTCTTACTTTCCATTTCAAACTGCTGGACTTACTCCTCCTTTTTAGTAAAGGATCTAGCTAGATTAATTAGGCAGTTTAATTTTTCCAAATTAGCTGAAGTTCAGATACCTAAAAACTAACAAACCACCTGAAGTGCTTGGTTTACAAAGAACTTCTGTGCTTCAGTCGGAGTCTAGCAGACCTTAAGTTCAGCTCCTAACATAAAACTCCTGGCCAATATATTTGTCCTTTCTTAATTCTAGAACACTCATGAAAGTGCTGCAAAATAAGAAGAACAAATCACAGGCTTCACATTAAGCAGAATGCAACATTCTAGGAGGTTTTAGGACCCACCTAAAGGAAAATCTGACTTGATCAGTTTTTAACCAGATTTTTTTTTATTCTCTCCATCCTAGTTCAGTCCCATAACATACGCAAAGCTGTGCTTAATAGTGTATTTCTGATATCATGGCATGGACTGCCCAAGTTCTACGATTTGTATTCTTTAAGTTCCACTCTGCCCTCCCTGTTTTTTTAATGAGAACACCATGTCTGAAGGAGAAGAGAGCAGGATGTGACTAAAACAGTTAATGTGAAAAGCTGCACTTACTGCACAATAATATAAAAGTGGGAAGAATAGCAGGTAATGCCAGAGATGGCTGTGTAAGGGAACTAATAAATTAATAAAAACACATCTGCTTTAGAAAATTTACCAAACTATGATGTTGAATTCAGTGCAGTGACCCTTTTTTCCAGAAAAAGGTTTGCTACATTTTATGAATTAAAAAATACTCCAACCAGCCCAGTGCCTAAGACAGCTAACAAACCTAGTCAGTGAAACAAACCTACGCATGAAAGCATGAATAAACAGCTGTGTATAAAACCTATTTACTTCCAGCAGCTTTGCCACTAAAGAGGTTGCATCAACTGCCCCAGTGCACACGTGTCTCCTTTTCAACCTCTGCGACCCAAGGATTTATATCTTCAAAGTGGGATTAGCAATCACGCAAAGCCTGCTTGCTTTCTATCACAGTAAGATTATCCTAGCTACAATAAATGCATTGAAACATATAGCATGATTCATTCGTACAAAATTACGTGCGCAATCGAACTTCTCCATTGAGGATTACAAACTGCCTGCAATGCCTTTCATTGTACCTGCTTACAGCGGTGGACTCCTGAGGTATCTGTACTATCACCTGCCTTACTGTGTTACAGGCATCGTTAAACATGCTTTGCACCTCCTAAATGTTTGTTTGGTTTTAGGGGGTTTTTGTTATGCTTGAACAAATATAAATGACAGAAAAAAACCCACCAAAATCCCCAATAATTTTTGGGTATGTTTAATTTTGTGGCTGTCTGTGTTACTTTAAATACATTCAAACTGCAGAGTATACTTGTTCAACCACAGCAGAATAGCAAAGTTTTATCAGGGTGTCTCATACAATATGTAAAAATTCAGTCTGATGCAAGAGCTATTCTGGCACGGGATGGTAGTATTACATAAAGTAGTAAAATGCTCATCAGAAATGTCAAATGCCTTCACACCCCTGCATTTTGTGTAAGGATAATTTATTAGGTTAAATTGATGCAAAGAAGTCAAGTCATTTCTTCATATGTCTCCCTGTAAATTTAGGGGCTGTTGATATCACCACTTAAAACAAAACAATGCATTTGTGAAATACATAATACTTCAACTGCAAACATTTACACATCAGTGTTTGGTGAAGGGGAAATGAAGCTTTCACACCTACTGTGACACTGCAGCAAGCCACTGAAACTTGCCTGTCATCACCCAGCTGCTCCACAGTCAGATGCCTCTTGAAAAGGCTCCTTAAATGGAACTGCTAAAACATTTTGGCAGTTAAGAGTTTGATAGGTGAGTTGTGTTGAACACTGCTGCAGTAACACAGTGTGCTACAGGACTCAACCCTCAATGAAGTCTGAGTTTACCACCATAGAGAAATGTGGCTTTTTTGTCACTACAAGGCAGTCTAGCATTATAGCCCCATATTCTACAGATGCTACAAATCTACAAATCACCTGAATTACATCCACTGTAATTGTGACATTATGTGTGATCTAACAATGTTTTCATGAAGGCTGACCAGGACTTCACCCTGTTGTTCATCCTATTATGGAAGCACCACAATTCATTCCGAATCCAAGTGTTGCTTTGTGGATCTGTTACGTTTTTTTGTTTGGTTGGTTTTCAATGGTTGCTTCCACCAAAAGTACTTGCATACCAAGCAAACTGGTGACTGGCTGCCTTCAGCAGCAGCTCTGGACAGAACTCAACTGACGCACGTGCTTTTCAGTGCCTCTACACAATGCAATGTGGCTATTGTAGCCTGCAGCACCCTTCAAACCAAACACCCTGCGCAGCTTAGTTGCAAATAAGTGCAGCTATTAAGTTCACCAGAATTAGTAAACATCTCCCTCACCAAAACAAATATGAAAACAAATGAACCTTTTGGTTTTCAGAAGACAGATCCCCAAGTTACACGCACCATACATGCAAATTAGGCACACTCCTATTTAGCCAACTTCAACCAGCTTTCTTTGCTCTTTTATAGATGTGAACAAAGAATCTCTTCCTCTGGAGCTTTTAAGCTCCATGGGATTTTAAGCTTAACTTTTTCTTCTTTTCAGACGCATCTCAGGCACCTATCTCTCATCCCCTGCATTCCGAAATTCCCAAATTCTCAAGCTCACATAACAAAGTTGAAAGATAACTACCTCAGCCAGCCTGAACCATGTGCCATTAAAAGTCTGCAAGATGCAATATGCCCAGACTACAGTTCATGTGCTTTCCCTTATATACCAGTTTAAATTCATACTGTATTATCACATAAAGTAGACCTCAGGATGTATCCCTGTACCCTGGGGCGTGCTCAACAAAATGAAGTGTCTCCATCTTAATTGTCTGTTCTGTTTTTAAAGCCTCTAGTGAAGGAAGGCTCCTCACCCCACCTGGAATAACCCATCCTCCCTATTCTAATGAGATGCATTGTAAGGAAATTTTCCTAATGCTTAACTTGCTTTTTAAATAAATAGCCTGTTTCTACTATTAATGTGGAGAAAAGGCTGTTCCTATCTTCTCTATAGCAACCTTTTTCGTATTTGAAAACTGTTTTCGCATCTTCCATCAGTCTCCTCTCCTTTTGATTAAAGAATAATTTCATTATTTCTCTTTTTTGAGTACTTTATGTCCTCCAGAATCTATCCAGCCACTCCCCATCTCTCTCAGGTGCCCCAACATGGGCAGGTACATCATCTGAGGCCCTATCACAGCTTGAAAACAGAAATACCACCACACTTCTCACATGTTAACATGAGTTAACAGTGCCCAGTTTGTTATAGTCTATACCATCCCTGCCCCAAGATGTTTTATGCAGTAATACCCACCCCTCCTCTGCTTGTGCAGTTGACTATCGCTACCTAAGTGTAGTTCCTTATATGCCTTATTTTTCCAAACCGCTTATCCTATTTCTCATGATCAGTTTTAACTCAAATTTTGTCTGCCGGTCTGCTGCAGCCCTGTCAGCTCAGCATGTGTTACCCAGATAAGTCAAAAACTATCACCTCCAAATGAGGACCTACAGACCCCAGAGAATGCATAATTTCCTATGTTTTTTTCCCTCATACCCTTTCTATTAAAGCCAGTTTCAGTTTGGAGACTTGCCACATACAGTTGGGAATGTCTAAGGACACATTCCAATACCCTAATGAGCTTTAAAACAGCTCCTGCTTTAAAAAAGAAATAGTAATAAAAGCCTTTGGTACAAACAGATTTCCTTCTGCTAAAATTCCTCCCTTCCAAATCTGTATGACTCTAACATGTGGAAGATTCAAATCTCAACAGTTTTCTAGTCACAAAGCCATCATATTTTAGCGCAGCCCTACAAAATTAGTCAGAGAAATGATCTGAAAGTATTTTTGGTTTGTTTGGAAGTAGAGTTGCCATCAAGAGTTATTTTTGTGACAGAGTCCTTCCCACTCCTTGAGGCTTTTGTCGCATTTCCCAATCAGTGAAGCTCTGTGGTTTTATAATAATCTGAATTTTTCTCTGAGACCTCCGTTGGTAATTAAGGCATCTGGCTTTACAGAAGGAAAGATAAGAAACATTACTAATATAAGTGGGTTTGGTTTTTGTTGTTGTTTGCTGTTGTTTAACCAGTTCTAAACCATTTTAAGCTCGTATACTGCATATAACATAGATGAATGTTTCTATAGAGATTTACCTAGCATTTCTTCAGGATATTCTACAACTTGTTGCTGGCCTTGCCTCTGAAGTAACTGCAACCTTTTGAAATTTGGGCTGATGCAACAAAGCTTCCATAATGTGTTCCATGCCAAGTTATCTGTGTATACAGGCTTGCCACAAAAGAAACCTGCAATTCCTGATAAATCGAGAGTAACTACAATTGTGTAAACGCCTCCCATTTAAAGGCTGGGTGGTCATGACTGGAACTGATTATAAGAGAAAAGCACAAACAGTTTTGTCATGTATTTGCCAACAGTATGTGGCATGTCAGTTTGGAAAACATTCACATTTAATTGCATATGGAAGATGACAGTAGAAAAGTGTTGGGGTGTGGGATAAGGAACCTTTCCTTTTCATCCTACCGTGGAAGAGACTGAAAAAAACCCAATTTTGTCAGTCAACAATAAAAATTAAAAGTAATCCTTAGCAAGCTTTTGCATTATTGTTTCCAAACTGTTCACTGGAACCAAAACAAAGGGCCAAAATATGCTTGCCTTGCTCAAGAGAATAATCCCACTGAAATCAACAAGACTGACTAGGCAAAGATGGATAGCAAAGTTTGGCCCCAAATAAACATCCCCGTAACTAGGGAAAACACTAATCACCAAAGTGCACTTAACACCATAGTAGCTACAGTTTCTTTATACATGCACAGTTTGTGCGACACCTGGTACATGAAACTAGCCAATGGAATATAAATAAGTGTGCCGCTTCCTTTTAAATATGAACATTAATAATGAAGCACATTCACATTTTTGCCTTTCAAAGACCTTTTTGGAAAATAAAAATAAAAACACCTTCCCCAAAATAACCTGGAACATGTTGTTAAATACAGCACATATGATTCAAAGAACGGTATTAAAGTAGAAGAGCTTTCACACACAAAACTGTTATTTGCTGTATAGCTGGAGTGACTTATGAAAATCCCAGGAAAAGACAATCCTCTCACCAGGAGAGGAAGAGAACAGCTGTAGTGTTAATTCAGTTTCTTCTGCAGGGGCTTGTTTCTATCTTCAGTGCTATCAGGGCTGAAGTCAGTACAGATACCATTAGGAACAGAAAGAGATGAAGTCTCCAAGCCACTCTCAGCTCCCATCTGATCAGCATAGAGATAGTCTTCTGCAAAGTGTGGGTGCAATTCAGCAAATCTGTAGAAGTCATCTAAAAAAACATACAAATTGTTGTTACACAGAATCAGCTCTTTGAAACAGAAGGATGCTAAATTTGAATAGTTACACATGTATAATCACATGATCACGTTGGAGAAAAATAGCAGCAGTTAGCATAATGCTATTCCCACAGTCTTTTTTAGTTTCTCAGCAGAAGTTTACCACGGCCCCAGAGGCAAGACGCTGCAAAAGGTTATCTAAGCCCTCCTAACACACTTCAGACCAAAGCATAGCTTGTATGGTGAAGGAGTAAACAGACTCAGATTTGCATTAAAATGCATGAGGAGCACCCCATGTCCTGACATAACATCCCACTGTTCACTGGGGGAAGGGTAGGAGCCTTCCAGCTGAGGAACAACAAACAGCAAGAGTAGTCATTTCTTAAAATCTGGGCAGACTTCTGCAAACATGCCTTTTAATGCTTTGCACTCATAATTCTCTTCAGCCTAACACCAGCTGACCTTGCTGCCTTCCTCGGTCGAGATGACAGCATGTCGAAAGTCCTAATATTTTGGAGAATATTATTGTGAGAAGATAATTAATTTGTAACACATTGAGGAAAAAAAAAAACAAACTCCAATTTTAATGTTGGATACTAAAGAAGACACAAAAAGAATAAGATCACCTCTTGGGGCAGGGGGAGGAATCTTTAACATCAAGAAATATAAAATTGTGTTAAAAATCAGACGTTGAAGCCTTGTCACAACTTGCACATATGACTGTTTATACAGGCATAATTTGAACACAAGATACCCAGTCACAAGCGGCTATACTTATAATGTAAACTGATACTGGAAAACATCATCACCAACTCTATCACCTACAGTATATCACACACAGCCCACTCAAATTCACAGTGTTATCCCAGAAGAGTTTGTCATCAGGCAATCCGCGAGTTCCCCAGAGTGCAGCACAGATGCCAGCTGAAGTACCCCTTCAGAGGCGTGAATCCCTGGTACAACTGGGCTGGTGTGGAAGAAGGGAACTACCACAGCTTTCCCTCCCCGAGACTCTTCTCCATTTGAGATGACATGTTTTCCTCAGTACTGGGAAGGGCGAGGGAATGTCAACTGTCTCACAGGGGCACTCAACTGGTAGGTCAGCCCTGCTTCTGAACTGTTGCAAAGGGAGAGGTGGGGAGAATGAAATAAACAACTTAATCCTGCAAACAAAAAAGCATGCATCTTTTATCCACAGTTTATATGGATCTAAAGTACTGGACCCTGTAACTGCAACAAAAGCTGAAGATGTTCAGCCTATGAAAAACAACGTTACCATCTTTGCTGAAAAACCTTTATGCACAAAAGGCTGATGGATCATGTAAATGATAAAGGCCTTCACGGAAAAAAACACCAACTTAAATGTTTGAAAATATATGCAGCAAAGATCTTTAATGCAAGTTCAACTTTTTTTTTCTAACTGTAATCTCATAGCACAGGATGTGATGTACCTGACCTTTTCCAAGAAAGGAAAGTAGAGTGTTCTTTTATATTTAAAATACTCAACAGTGGTAGTCATTTCTGGTAGAGTTCAGGAAGTAGACATTTTGGGTCTTACTGAAAGAACTCCTGAGGATATTAAGGAGTATTTATCAAGCCTGTGCATAGCAGAGCCCAAGGAAAAGTGCTTGGATCCCATTTGCCTCATTCATCAGAAACGTGAGACAAGGTGATAGAGGAAGAATGAGCTTTTTCAGCATTACTTTTAATCACAGGTCTCATCTTGGGAGTCAAGCTTAAAACAACTGTGAAGCATGAGACTGGAGAAAAAGATAACCATAGTCATTTACTTGGGAAAAAGTAATTTTGCTTCCTAACCCTGCTAAAAGGAAAAATACAAAAAGAAGGAAAGACCCCAAAGTGGAGTTCTTTAAGACTCCTATGTGTTTTTGCATTAAGTATTGCCGTGGTTTAAACCCAGCCAGACAGCTCGTGCACTCACTCCCAGTGAGTGGTACCATGCATGTGTACAGTACGAACTTAAAGAGGTTTTTCTCCTGCCTTTGCAATACTGATGCTCCTGATAGAAGCTCTGTGTTCATGAACCTCCTAGTTTTCATTCCACCTCAGCTATGTAATTAGTGTATACAAACTTAATAGAATAATCCTGTAGCTAATACAGGCAAAGGTACTACATTTTAAATAACAAACACTTCTTCCTTCTCACTCCATTCATCCACAGAGGTATTCACAATACTGCAAATCCCCCTTTTCTTCTTGTTACCATCAAGCAAGGCAGACTTCGGAACATTTTCACAGTCACCATTTAACTATCAAGAACAGGTGGAGAGCATCCTAGAATTTGCAATGCCAACCTACAGAACCTATTCAAATTCTCCAGAATCATATTTTAAGATTGAGAAATCATGCCTGTTTCCAGATCACACTGAGCGCAGCAGCTCTGGAATAAAGGTGTATCTAAGGTAAGCCAACAGCACACTGCTTTAGAGAACTGATACACAGATCTTTGACAACTAGTGTTATTTTTAAAAATGTGACAAAAATCCTGACTTCTAACAATTCCAATCCATGATTATCAGACTAATTATACAACCTTGATTTTGCTGTTGGTCATTCTGTTTACCTGGGCTTTTCCTTTGGGATGAGATCTCTGGCTTCAAGAGCTCTGCTATATGTGCAGCGACTCAGGTTTGCTACTTTGGATTTTTTTGTTGCTGTTGTTATTACAAGGAAGACTGAAAACTTAATATTCCTGCTTCACACTCTAACACACTATAAAGAAGGAGCTTGTAAACAGAACCCTCTGCCATATGTATCCAAAGTAATGTCAATACTCTTTTACCAGATACAAAGTTCTGATTTCTTAGAACTTGACTGAATAATGCCTTCAGAAAAGGTGTAGTCTGAAAGTTTTCCACCTCTCCCTTCTCAGCATTTAAGTGCAACAAGCCGAGTATGTGGAGTCATATGCTTAGGAAAGGCAAGAGACTGGTTATTTATGGCAGGAATTTTGAAGAAAGAAATGCAAAGAAAGTTTACTTTCATCTTCTAATTCTCTACCACAATAAACTAGACATTTATTCTCCCTATTAAGCTTTCATATATGTTAGAATTTCAGTGCAATGCTTGTAATTATAAAATGAGCACTTCTATAAGAAAAAGATCCAAGCAAAGTTTCAAAGAAATATGTGACCACCTCGCAGGAGACTACTCTTGACTACAAGAAATGAAACAGTGAAAATGAGAGTTAAGCACTACAGTGTCCACTGCTGTGTCTCAGTAGTCCAGTTTTTATTGTGATGAGAACACACCATGATCACGTAGGGAAAAGGGCAGACTTAAATGCAACTAAATACCATTAAAGATGAATATTCAATTACGAGTTCTTTGCTAACTCGCCTGAGTTCACCCGTACGCCATTTCCAATTTAGCTATTCTCAAACAATGGAGAGTGCCAGAATTAGTATTTTGCTAGGCTTACCACCTTAAGATTCTGTGCTGGTATTTTTGAATATGGGGGAAGAGTTGAGTCACTGCTCAAATGAGTTCAGGGACAAGGAGCAACAGAGATAGGCAGGAAAAAGGCAATAGCAGAGGATGCACCAGGAAATGCTGGGGACATGGCAGATCGGAGGTACAAAAAGGAAAGGGGTAGTATGCATGAATCAAGGAGGCAAGACACAGCAGTCAGGAAATAGGGAAGGGCAGTGTCCATTATACTCATTCCAATAACTAAAATCCATGATACTCATTCCAATAACTAAAATAGTTCTGTAGATGAAGCTTTACATATATATTGCATGATTGAAACATAGAAATTATTAGTGTAGGATTTACCAGCATTGATATCTTAATTTGTAAGATTTTTACAAATTAAACACATACTGATTATCCTGAAGGAAAGCCACTAGAACATGGCATGTCATATGCACTTCTATTGGAGATATGTGTTGTCGGCTATCAACTCGGTTCATACTTAAATGATATAACTAAATTTAGAACCTTACCACATAAATGATGAATAATCTGAAGTAACACTCAAGTACTTTAATTCACAGCATAATCTATTCACCCAGATCTCACCATTTTTAAATGCAACTTTCTCACCTCTGTCTCACCTGCATTACAGGCTACATATTGAGCAGCCTGGTTAATAGCCCCAGTTTGCCCCCAACACACACCTGTGACTTATTTTTAAACAGGCTGAGAAATGATTATAGGAGCAGAAAGTACTATATCACTCTACCTTCTGTAAGGGCACAAATAGTGGGGAACAGGTAAAAGAGACAAAGCAACAGGACAGAGCTAAGAGAGATTTCTTAAAGACATATATTCACGTACATAGAAGTCACAGAATAGAACATTCTGAAAGAGATCCAGGTATTGCCCGACTTAATGTGTAAGGAAAACCTCTGAAAATATGCAAGCATCACATTTGATAAAGGGCACTTTGGCATTTTATGTCAGCTCAGATCCACCTAAAATACTCACCATAAGTAATCTTTCCTTTTTCTTCTTCATCTACAGCTTTAAAAAGATGCGTAACATTAATCTGTGACACACCCATGGCAGTCTTCAGAATATAGGCTAAATCCTCTTCTGTTATAGTTCCGTTTTCTGACTGGTACATCTATGAATCGAGACAACAAGATAAATCACTGCATAACTGAATGCTATCTTCTATAAACAGCACCACATAACTAAGTACTTATGCAACATTAAAGCTTGGTACTGGAAATTCTAGTCACTCTCACATTCAAGTGACCTACTAAGGATTTCTGATTAGTCTGGGTAAAAGATACCATTGATTATTAGTTCACCTGTGTATGCTTAGAAAGCAAAGCTTGCTATGTTCAGAAAAAAACCCTATGTTTACATGCATAACCACCAGAATTTCAGCAGTATTCAGAGACAAGACGGTTTAACACTAACATGTTTTGCAGGTGTGTAACTGAATAATTATTAGTCCACTGATTTATGTGTCTAAACTCCAAGAGAATCAGGAGATATATGTGAAACATTGCACTTCATCACTGAAAACAAATGACAAAGTGCTTTTCAAGAAACTGCACATGGCAGAGGACAGCACTTCTACCAAGCTGTGCATTTATGAGCTGACTAGATCCTTCACTGGCTCCCAATAAACTGCGTGAGTATCTTATTGTACGCAAACCCAGGACAGGGGACAAGATTAAAAAAGCCCCTCTCTTTCCATTTTTACTAGGAAGCTGTGAGCAAAATTTCCTCAGCTCAAGACTGGTTTTGACCCTTCCAATCACCACTAACAGGATAAAGTGTGCCACACCTGCTTCCCCTTGCTGAGCACTTCACCTTTTTAATACATGCATAGAACTTCATTGCAGTTCTACAGTTGATTTTATATTTTACTTTTATAAGTAAATTTTATACTTTTGAAGGAAGTCAAAATTATGTATTATGAACGGCTCTATTAAATTTAGGTGCTTCCAAAGGAAAATAACTGTCCAATCTGAGTTTTTTTTCCCTAAAATGGTAAAGTACATTGCACATTATGCATGACGACAGCTAAATTTTACTGAAATACTGCCCAAAAGCCACCTTCAAGTTTACTTTAGTCTTGTTCATTTTAATATAGAATCATAGAATAGTTAGGGTTGGAAAGGACCTCAAGATCATCAAGCTCCAACCCCCCTGCCATGGGCAGGGACACCTCGCTCTAAACCATATTACCCAAGGCCTCATCCAGCCTGGCCTTGAACACTGCCAGGGCTGAAGCATTCACAACCTCCCTGGACAACCTATTCCGGTGCCTCAGCACCATATGAAGACACAGAGTTGACCAAACAGCACCTGAGCATTTCTCTATGCCATTATATAGATCAAATGGAGGAAGGGCAGAGACCTTTCTGCTTTTCCCTCCGAAGCAGCAGTAGGTTAAGAGCTATTAGAGGCAGTTTTTCCCAAATGTCTGTATGAACTAAATATTTTTGTTCATTCCTCCTTTGTCAATTTTTTTTTTAATATTGACAAAAGGGTAAGAATGATAGATCTGGACACTAAACATTCACAGGAGCCTCATTTCTTTAACAAAACATAATTAAGAGAATAATACGCTTATGCTGAAGACCTTGAAAACATCTACTCAGAACATAAGGCTTCCAAGTAGAATCATGCAACTGAATGTTCTCAATTCCATTCATTCACTAATGAAGACAGCATCAAGATTTATCACTTTTCAGTTTTAGTAACACTAAAGGCACTAAAGAGATCAAGGCAAAGGGAAAAGATGATGCACGATGCAGCAGTTTTCATGCTGAAATAGAAATATTAAAGGAATTAACAAGCAATAATTCAAGGTGTCAGACAAACCCACAGGACTGGCAAGCATTAAAGTATTGCTGCTGTCACTTTCCCAAAAAAGCCTGCATTAACCAACTATGGTGATGCTACAACAAGCCACTGAGGACGGAAGAACAAGATCAGGAGCACTTTTCAAAGGCATAGTCTGGGCAGACTGCAGGACTAACATAGAAACATGGTTAAGTCTAAGAGGGAAGAAAATCTTAAGAAGAAGATAAAAGGGGGTAAAAATAAAACAAAGCAAAACAAAGCAAAACCAGAACTCTATTAAGATGTAGGAAAAGTTTTTTAATATTTTACTAACTTGAAAAATGAAATTTGATTGAAACATTATAAAAAGTAGTAAGCACAACTCATTAGCCTTTAGTTTAGAGGAATCAATACAAAGGACTTCAGATTTTCAGCACGTTTCAATGTGCTGAAAAGGATTCTACCAGAGTTCCACAGGGAGCAACTTCAAACTGCAGACTTCCGTAATTTTATATAAACTTGCAGTGCATTCCCTCTGAACATGAACTCTTAATCTAATTTTCCATTACTGTTATTTTAAAATTTAATTAATTATTAAAAGGGCATGTGAAACAAGCTTCTCTTAAGTCTAATGGCAGTATTAATAACTTCTAAAGGTAAGTAAACTACACAGAGGCTGAAAACGCCACTTACCTGAAATGCCAACTGAATTGTTTCCAGAGTTTTGGATGGCTTGCAGACAACTGACAGAGCAATAACAAATTCCCGAATGTCAATTATGCCTTCTTCATTCTGTGAAGGAAAACCTCACCTCAAAATACTGCAATTTGCCTGAATGTTCATAAATAATCAACAGTTAACAAAGATGCAGAAAGATCATTTATGTAACAGTTACATATGCCACTGCAAAGAAGCCCCACTGAAATGGAATTACATCAGGGCAAGAACTTAGGTCACCGAAGCTCTGCAGAACCTTTTCAGAGTCTAGTCAGAAGTGATAATTCAAATGTTTTTGGAAGACAGTGCTGCTACTGTCACCCTTCACTTGCATATTTAAGATTTTTACATCAAATCATCTGAATTACCAGGTAGAAATTAAAACTGGAGAACCACAACGCAAGGTAGCCTAATTTAATCCCTGAACACATGACATCTGTTCTTTGGTCTAAGAGAACCCTGTTCACATATCCACCTCCTGGTCCAATCAGCACCTCATCCAGAGAAAGATAACAGTCATTTCCCCATTCTGACTGATTGCCTGATGGACGAAGAACTGGCTCATCTGCCAAGTTCCTAGGTCAGGTTTCAGACACCCTAGAAGAACAAGTGATTTATTTACAAGGTTAAGTAAAATAACAGCTCATAGGCACTGCATTCAGTTGCAACAAGCAGCAGCAAAGATTTCTTCCTCTTCATATTTTGCATCTAAAAAGAAAATCAGTTTTGTCCAGCTGATGCTACTGTTAACTTCTACCTCAATGAATGCTTTATTTACTTGATAATAGGTGCTCTTACTTTGCTGACAATGGAATGCAGTAGGCAAATACTGTGGTGAAGTGCTCAAAAGCACCAGCCCAAATCAAACCTCAATGAACTCAACTGGAACTGAATCAGGCTAAAGTAAAGTTTACTTTAAACATGATGTTGCTTCTTACCTCATCAAAAAGTGCAAACATACTTTCTAATGTCTGTGAAACTGGAAATTCCAAGTATGCTGAAAATTCTTTAAGATCAATCTTTTCTTTTTTCATTTTCATGGCACTTGCAGCATATTTATCAAGATCATCTTCAAGTGTTTCTGGCTTCAGCCTAGAAAGAGTATTATTTGTGCACATTTTAAAAATAAACCCAATTTTAACAATACAAAATTCAATATACCAAGTGAAATAGTGGATGATATTGCTGTAAAACATTACAAAATCTAGAATCATAATTACTAAGCAACATGATAAAATAATGTATTAATAATGTAATATTAAGGCTACAATTAGCTCTTAAACTGTATCACAAAATACTGCAAGGTTTTAGGAACTCTAGTCTTAAACTTGTGTTCTTTATTTACCTTGGTAACTGCTATTCTACCTTGATTACTGCTTGTAAGCTGTTCAACATGGACAAGAAACACCATCATTATTAGAACTAGCTAATAAATATCAGGCAGGAGGACCTAGGTGGGATTTAGGTCACCTGAATATGGCTGTATTATAGGACAGTAACATAAACCAATTAAGCTTCCAAATTTACTGATGTCTCTGAACAGGAAGGACCTGATGCATCTTGCCTACAATAAATCAGGGATTACATAATAGAGATTATACAGCTAATCCTGTTTGCCAGTCCCCGTTCTTCACATTCAGTCTGGAGCTGGCCACCGTTATGAGGTGACCCAAACAAAGTTATAGCAGTTTATTTAGCTACAGAAATGTCCCCAGTGCGTCTGATTACAAAACCAGATTCTGACTGATGAGTGAATGAATGGCAGAGATCTACTGCATGGTACTGCAGCATGGTTGCTGGTTCTGTTTGGTTTTTTTGCCATCCTTCCCACCCTTAATTCAAGCTTCCTGTTGCTGTTTTGTGAAACAAAGTCTTACTACGAATATGATACATGGTTCTCTTAGTACATGGGGAAAAGGAAATTCCCTCCCTACTACAACAGCAATGAAATCTTGACTAGCAGGTTTCCTCTGAACTGATTTAGAGGACATCCAAGCATTCCAGTCTGAAGACAAAAGAGACCAATATATTCTTTTGCAATATTATTCTGCAGTTGCTTGGTTTGCTGTTTGCTGCTGCAAACAAGAAAAAGGCAGTTATTTACAGAACTCATAAACTCACTCCAGAATTGCTACCAGACTGCAGCTGGGACTCATCATCAGCTTCCTCTCAGTGACAAGAATGAATAAAATACTTAATATCAGCATTCTCAGAAGCTTCTGAGAAAAGAGCATTTCTGATAGGAATATTATCTGATACATCAGCTCCAGACCATGATCACTTCTTGAAATGAGCCTTCCTAAAAATTGCTGCTTTTAAGCAAAAACACAACTACCATGCTCTCTGCCGTTACTTAAATGGCTTGTCAAAGTTTACTAACTAAACAATGCCAAGCACTGTACTTCTAAATTATAAGACCCAAACATGCAAGAATTCTTCCAGAGACCCATGGTCCCTACAGAATATTAATATGTTCTCCATCCTGGCATTAAAGCACCTATCTTAAGTTTTGGTCCCTAGACAGTATAAAAAGAGCTGCAGAATACTCCTCTGCAGAAATTCATTTTCCATGATCAAGCAGTGAAGCAGCAGGAACAATGACAAAGGAAACCATGGAGGATTCAAGATGCATGAACAACTCAGCTTCCCACATGCAAGGTTACATGTAAGAAGTCTCCACAGATAATACATCCCCACTGTAGTAGCCGAAATGGATTGTAACTGTAGGATGAAGACAGCTGGCAACTGAATCCTCCCTTGAGATAAGCCACTACTGACAGAGAATATACAGGCTAACGTCTGTCTCTAAATCAGAGACATTTGATTTGCAATGAATTGACTCAAAATTCATCTTCTAGTACTGAGGGAGTACTTGTTTGATGAGGTAGTATTTGAGACTTATGAAATGATCTCTTCACCAGTCAATTAACTCTGAAAAGCTAAAGTCTGAAGGCGAAACCTTGTACACAAAGCAGCATGGATTACCATGAATCTTACAGACATCTTGTGGTTTGTGTTTCCTCAATATAAAGAAAGACATGTAAGACAATCTCAAGAAGAGTCAGTGGATCAGTGAGATGAACTTACTGCTTCAGCTTGAGTATGACTGCATTGTACTTCTGGTAATCCAAGGTGGGCTCACTTCCTTGTAGCCCTTTCAGAATCAGAATGCAATTGATGTATGGATGACCATGGCCTACTGTAGTGAGCATCTTCTGAAGCCAAATGTGCGAAATCCCACAGTAGGTTCTGAACCAATCTGTGAAATAGTTTTGAGTGTCTCAATGCCTTTAAAATTGTTACTTTTAGTCCAATAGACTATAAAAGCTAGAAAGCCAACAGAGATGCCTTTGCTCATGAAATCACGCTTCTTTACCTAATGGCTTCCATGCAGCATCTAGGCTTTACAATACATAACATTACTTGCTGCTGTGGTGGTTGGCTTCATTTTTTAGGCCAACGTGCACTAGAGAGAATCAAATGTCTTTCTGACTCCCTGAAGATGGAATGCACATTTTTCAAGATTAACAGCTCTGGACACTAAATCCTTCACAGCAGACTTCACAAGGAAAACCAGATCCCTGAAGGCAGGGTATTTTCAGCATAATTACCACTATTTTTAGCCAGTGAGATGTCTTACCTCCTTAAAGCTAGTTTTAGCTGCATTTGACTATTTGAAAACAAACTCCTTTCTTGCACACTGAGAACCTGCCAAAAACCTTCTAGTGTCTCTCAGAGCTGGAAGGTGCATAAGAACAGCTGGATCCTGTAGCTAGTAACTGTAAGCTGCAAGCTCAGAGAAAGATGCCCTAAGCCAGAAAAGTATAATGCATTCAGTTCTATGTATGCTGGTGTAGTTCCATGTTACTTCTTGTCATAATAGAGAAAGGATACTGAACAGCTGCAAAACTGACCTTCCAAATACTCTGGAAAACCCTGCCTTGATCCACAGGGCAGGGACTATCATGGTTAGTATTTGCTATGTTACATCTGATCTGCAATCACCTCCTGTAATGGACATTATTGATCTTATCATGAATACAGATGGACAACATCCTCCAGAGGCTTACCCTTGTTACAGATCTCTGAACACTCAGGGTCAAGAAAGCAAAGAAAGTAATTAAGGATCCAAAAAGAATTCCAAAATAAATTGCTGCCCATTGTTAAAGACAAAAAGAGATGAGACCTAATTATACTGTATTAACATTTTCTGAATGAGAAGATATCTGAAGAAGTCTTTCATAAGATGCAAAGTCCAGACAAGCTTCAATGTCTCAAACACGGCAATAGATCCAGTCAAAGTAGATGACCGCTTTAAACAGTGGGGTAATTAACTGTGGAATAAACAATCAAATGAAGCAGAATATTTACAATGTATAAAAGCTACAATAAAGACTACAGTATAGTGATCAGCATATTGTTCAGACACAGATTACCAGGCTCAACAGACGCGTAAGTGCCTGAGGACTAACAAACGCAGAATCTGAGAAGATGAGACTATGATCAATTGATCTAATCGGTACAGCAGTCATTTTACTACAGGGCTCAGCAGGAGTCAGATGAGTTTCAGCCAGCTGTGACCCAGCAGCTGTACAGCTGTGTTAACAGAGCCCAAGATCTTAATTAGATGAAGCATGAGAACTTGCTGCTGTGGCTGCATGTCTTCTGGATTGGACCCCATCCAGCTGAGCACAAAGCAAGCAAATTTTACAATGTTAATGAATTCTGTAGATAAACAATGTGAACAGAAATAACTATCCAATGTAGCAAACTGAGGTATAACTTGATTTCAAAGAACCTAAAACAGAAGCAAGTTTGGATTTGCCTTACTATAGAACTCTTGCATTTAAAACTGGATCTTACCTTGAAGGTACATTACTGTTTAAAAACAAGTATTAAGACTAGATGCAAAATCCATTGGATAAAATTTATTGTTTCAGTTATTTAGGGATGTGAATGGATGATCTTAATGCCTCCCTGGCCTCAAAACCTTTGAATAGGCAGCAAAATGACTGCATCACCATCAAACATGCATTAGAAATGAAGTAATATTACAATCTTCACCTAATCATTCCAGGAAAGTACCATCATAATAGCCCTTTTACTGGCACATACCCAAATCAAGACAAGGTACTATTTTACCAATGTACAATTACACAAACCAGAGAAATTTTGGGTTGTGGGAAACCTCACTCACAAATGCACGCAGTATTTTTGGAGGCCAGAACAGAAACCCAGAAAAGCATAATTTGAATGAACAGCTTTAAATTGAGCAAACAGAAGCCAGACAATTTTACGAGAGGATTAAACTGAATCCCAGGATTACCGACTGCCTAAGAAGAGACAGGGGTGTTTGAGTTGTTTGTTACGGTTTTTTTGTTTGGTTTTTTTTTTTTTTAGTACTGTAAATTCAGAGCCTTTGGAACCAAGCAAGAATCTTTGCTTTCCCTTAGAAGTTTCTCCTATTCTACTGGAAGTCTTCTCAGACGTAGGTCCTGACGGCAAATTACAATATGCTTGTCACCTGAATGATTAATATATGCTGTCCTACATTACTTTTCTCCAATAGAGAGCTCTTTTTTTTTTTTCATTTATGTACACAGGATGGAAAATGAAAGACAAATTAATAAAAGGAAATAAGGTACAGAATGGAACCATGAAACTGCGCTTGCTACTTTCAGGTGAAGAGACAAATGGAAAAGGGTGTTTATATATTAAAGCAGTTAACACGATGAGGCTGTAAATTCAGTTAGTAGAGAAACAGGAGAAAAGCTCGAAAATAACAATCTACTATTTGGCTTATGTGAACTTTTCACTGTTAGTTAAATCTTTTCTGAAAGGTATAAGCCAGAGGGAACTGACACTATGAGAAGAGAGAAACCACGCTGCACACACTAACCTACAGTTTCATTAGAAAGTCCATTTAGCAGCAATCTACTCAAAAGATCAACCATTGCTTTGTGCTTCTTGAGAAGGGGTGACCCCTCTGCCCTCACTATTATAACGTTACTCCAGTCATAAGACTTGTATGGCAGCACTGCTCTCTTTTCATTGTGTCACAGGAAAGGGCAACTGACTTAACTATATCAAATATCAGGAATCCCACAGTATTCCAGACACTCTTCAGGAAGTGACTTTGAGATTTGTTCAGGAATGAACACTTCAGACACACTCTGCTCACTTGACAGACTGTGGAAATAAAATGTTATGACATATGCTATTCACGAGGACCTAGGGGTAGCTCTTGTAAGTGGAGATTAGTATCGGTTTGATTTTGCATAGTGTTTCCCTGATTGTAACAGGAAAACATTCCATATGTATCCATAATGCAGTATTGTTATATGAAGGGAAAAACTATATAAACATAAATATATAGTAAAGATGCATCTTACATATAAATATCATATATGCTCACCCAAGGCTTCTTACAAGTTTTGCAAATTCTAAAAGACATGTGTCCGAAGGCAGACGAAGTTGTCCTTCAGCCAAAGCTAACTGACAGTCTTCAAATGTATAGTCTGTCACTGAAACTCCCAACGCCCTTGAACAAACCAAAGAAACACTGTAAGCAGGATAAGCTGAGAAAAATAAGTAGAATCATCACTTTTTAAGCAAGAAATCCTGTAATAATTATGCTCTATTCTGAAGAAGCATAATGACGAGCCCATAAAAGGAGGTTCACATACAAAGAATGAAATATGGTACTCTAGCCATTACAGAACATCTATTTCTGATTTACAAATACATGAAAATATAAAAGAGCACAAGGGAAAATATAGGCAGTGCAAAAACTTTCAGTTTCCTTAATATTTTCATAGAAGTGAATAACAAGGGTTTCAAAACTATACATATAGAACAAAAAAAATTATTAATAAATATTCATATTAATACTACAGTAACGTTAATAAATCAATAATCACCTGAGCAGAACAACTATCCCCTTCAGGTAATACTGAAATTACACAATAGGCAAAATTTCTCTATAAAGAGTGGCTAGAACATAAAGTATAAAAGCAAGTAAACTCCAAGGAAACACAAGCTATTTTTAAGTGTATGACATAAGAAGGGTAGAAGAAAAAAACCCAAATTCCCAAGCTTTCATATGCCAAACAATTAAGTATTCATTTTTCCTTTTCTTCTAACTTGATGCTCTTTATTAACAGCAGCACCTTTAAACCTGCTGTGGTTTAAACCCAGCAGCACACAGCCGCTTGCTCACACCCCTCTACTCTGCCCAACTCCAGGGTGGAATGGAGGGGGAGGGAGCAGAATCAGAAGAATACAAAATCAATAGGTTGAATAACTAAAGAAGAGCTTAATAACTCAAGTAAAATATAGTGATGACAGAAAGAATACCAACAATAACAACAATGGTGATAATAGGAAACAACAAGAGAACAAATGAAAGCTCAGAAAATGCAACACAATTGCTCACCATCCACTAACCGATACCCAGCCCGATCTGAGCAGCAATCTGGGCCTTCCAGGTAACTCTCCCGACTTTATACACCGGGCATGACGTGCTGTGGTATGGAATACCTCTTTGGCTAGTTTGGGTCAGGTGTCCTGTCTGTGCTCCCTCCTGACTTCTTGTGTCCCTCCTCACTGGCAGAGCATGAGAGACTGAAAAGTCCTTCATCAGGGTAAGCACTACTTAACACACAGATGTTTTAGTTGTTGCTATCAGCACTGCTCTCAAGCTAAAGCCAAGACAGAGCCCTGCACCAGCTACTAGGAAGAAAAACAACTGTTACAGCTCAAACGAGAACAAAAATATAGATGAACTCCCGTATGCTGCAGGGATTTAAATCCAAGTTCTACCTGACTTAGAGATCAGGTATTGCAGGTCTTGTCAATTATTATGTAATAGGATATTCAATAGAGTGTTGTATCATACAATATGACATCATTGCTTTTGTGTTGTATAATGCTAACTTTCTTTGGTAAAAGGGGTGGATGAAAAAAGAAGCATCTATTCTGCCAGTTAAGATTATTTCCTAGTCCCTTCTTTTGTACTCTGTGTGGACTAGATCATCCTTATAAAGTTCCCTGTAAATTGTCAGTGAAGTAGCTGAACTCCTAGGGCAGCAGGGACACACTATAAGGTCTTCCATCCACAGTGGCTTAAAGAATGTGGTAACAACTAAAGATCTTGCCCAGTCAGGCACATTACGCTAGATTTCATCAGATTTTAAGGCACAGCACACAACAGAAATACAGGAACCTAATGGTGATCAGCTGAGGCCTAAGGCAACTACAGAGAAAAGGGGAAACCGGTTAAAAATAAGTAAAAGAAGAAACTGAAAGGATAAAGTGATCATTTGTGGTACAAAAGGAGAAGTGACAAGACACTTAAAAAAATACCCTGAAAGGGCAAAAAAAAATCCAGTAAGACTCAGCAGCTGATTAAAGGTGGCAGTTAGAACAAAAGACCTCCCTTTCTTAAACAAACTCTACATGTTCTCTCAAGGAAAACAGACAGACAAGTTAAAACATAACCATAAGGTGGCAAGGCAAAGCAAGAAACAGTAACTTGTTGGAACTAAAAGCTAGAAGCTTTTCAAACACATCAAAAGCAAGATGACTAAGAAAGATCAGGCTGCTCAACCTAAGGGGGGAGGGCAGAATCCTGATTGCCTGTCATCCCAGAACCAATGCCAGATTTAAGTAACCTCTCCTAAATAATGGTCCCCACACATGTTGAAGGAGCCTAGCCAAACACAAATTAACAACAAACACACAAACAAACCCCAACAAACAATCAAACCCAAGCTTATGATATCGAGAGCAAATTCCACACAAAAGCAGGGATCATCTTAGACTTGGTCAAACCATAAGGGGAAAAAACAAACTTCACCGTTTACAGCGGTATGCAACCCTCCCAGAATGAGATGTATTTGGACCAGACTTCAAGTGCTTATCAGTACAGAAAAATTCCCACTACAATTAATGCCTGCCTACATGCATGTCTAGTGTCAACACATACATAAAACAGGTTTGAGAAGGTTAAAAGCATCTTCCCTTGATCACTGATGGCAATTATCCAGCCTTTGGACTTAAAAAAAAAAAAAAAAAGGCAAAATAAATTGAAACTGTGTTTCTATATGCATCCAAACTTTCAAAATCCCAAAATAAAGGGGAGAAAACTTTTGCTCGCAGTAAAGTGCTGTCAACCAAGGCCAGATAAATTAAGAGTTCAGTGGGCTCTTCAGATGATAAACCACAACCTGTATAGGGCTACCAGTTTAACACAAAATGACCTTGATTTCAGCTCAGAATATTGAAGAAACTGAAGCTGGGGAGCATCTGAAGTTCATTATTTGTGCTAACACTTGTTAAATTTTCAATTTCTTAGAAAAAAGACTGGAGTACTGAGAATTCACTGTAAAGCCTGAGTGCAACTGCAACCAACTTATCTCAAGGGCAATCTTTCTCTACTTCAGTTCAACTGCTAGAGAAAAAAAATCATTTCAATTTGAGATGCAAATTGCAAGTGCAACCCAATGCTTTTAATAAGCTAGGAACATAACAGCTTTTCCCATCTCTTTGTTTACAAGCACTTTTTTCCCTCTTTTCTTCATACTGCTCCTGCTTCCACAGTCAGTTAACCCAAGCCTAGCCTTTTTACTGCTCAGCAATTTTTATTTGGCCAGATGTGAATGTCTGTCGTGACACAGCTTGAGACTTTTTGCTTTCCTACCTTCCCTGACATGCTGGCTATTTACCTTCCATGGTATCACACTACATGAAATTCCAAAGTCAGGAAGTCACTTCAAAGAAATAAAACCAAATCAAAACCCAACAAAAACCTAAAAGCCTCCTGCATACTCAATCTGTCACACACAACAGTTGTACTTGTTATAGCCTGACTTCTCACACCAAACAGCTCCCTATGTCTAACACTTGTGCAGTCACAATATAAAAATAAATGATCAACATTCTCATATTCTGCATATTGATCCACTATGCATGCAAAATTCTGATCATAAAACAGAATGTGACTGCTGCAATACTATGCAAAGTGAAAGAAAATAGTACAGGCAACACTGTGACATTCTGATCTACGCTTCAACAAAAACATTTACAAAATGTTTTACACTGTTAATGAGCAGATCTGTAAACTAATCTAGAAAACATTCCACATTCTACTGACAAAAAACCCCACTCCTTTAAAGCAGGCATCATCTTTACAGGGTGTGGAACACATTAAAAGGCTATCAAACTTCGTATGCTACTTCACTATCAGGTATTTTGGGAAAAGACATGGTGGAAGGCCACGAGGATGATCAGGGGACTGGAGCACCTCCTGCGTGAAGACAGGCTAAGAAAGTTGGGGCTGTTCAGCCTGGAGAAGAGAAGGCTGCGTGGAGACCTCATAGCAGCCTTCCAGTATCTGAAGGGGGCCTATAAGGATGCTGGGGGGTACTCTTCATTAGGGACTGTAGTGATAGGACAAGGGGTAATGGGTTAAAACTTAAACAGGGGAAGTTCAGATTGGATATAAGGAAGAAATTCTTTCCTGTAAGGGTGGTGAGGCACTGGAATGGGTTGCCCAGGGAGGTTGTGAATGCTCCATCCCTGGCAGTGCTCAAAGCCAGGCAGGACAGAGCCTTGGGCGACACGGTCTAGTGTGAGGTGTTCCTGTCCATAGCAGGGTGGTTGGAACTTGATGATCTTAAGGTCCTTTCCAACCCTAAATATTCTGTGATTCTATGACAAATAACCCAAGTTTCCAATAGTCATCTGTATGGCAACTTCCGTACCAGAGAATATTTGTACCACTGCATTGTAGAATCACCGACAGACCAAATTTTTTACAATACATCCCATCTCTTATTAATTCCTTTAATACATCTGATAGTGAATGCTACAATTATGTACATGTTTTCCATCTACTTTCCGTTGATCTACTGCTGAGTGTTTTTCCTTACTATGCTTTTCTATAACATCATGATTTCACTAACCTTCACAACAACCCTCCACTTTTTAATTTCTTTTTCTTCTTTCACAAAGCTGAAGAGCTTTCAGCTATTTAGTTTTGGAAGGCCAGGGTAAACAGCCCCTTTACTCTCCCTGAATTACTTCTACATTGTCCAAGCAAATGAAGGTCCAGGCCTAAGAGTCTGAAGTTCACACCAAGATACAGTCTCTCATGATGGTTTAATTTTCAGACGGAAAAGGAAGCTGTTAACATCTACATTTATCCATTGTGTTAAGAAAATGGATTCTGTAATGTTGGTCTTGAAGGCCTGTACACCACGAATCTTCAAGGAGTAAAAATGAAGCAAGTTCTTTGTGTTGTCAGCATTCAACACTCCAGTTCAAACCAGACTGCTCCAAAATAGCACTTAACTTTAAAAAAAATATTTTTTCCTTGAGAGAATGAACTGAGCAAGAAGCTGCACAGAGTTAATCCCATTTTGTAACTACGCTTGCCGAACTGCCATACTTACAGCCTTCACAGAAACAAAGACTGCACAATGTGGTTCTCATCTCCATTTTTGTATATGGACTGAAACTTAAACAAATGGATGCTTTTTA